TTGGAAATGATGTCTCCACGCTGACATTCTCTCGCATGAGATCTTCTCCCCCCAAAATCCCTCTAACTCTCACCTGCCCCCTCCTTCCCTCCCTGTACTCTTCCTCTCATCTCCCTCGTGTTGCTTTTCTATTGTGCTCTATTTCTCCTCTCCATACAACCTTGTCTTTTCTCATCGTTCTCTCTCTCACTTTCGTTTGCTTTCTCCCTGACTCTTTTCTTATCCTCTCCTCCTCTTCTGTTTTCACTCTCGTCAGTGCAAGAGAGTTCTCTCGCCTAAATTTGATCCCCTTTTATTTTTTTCTCACTCATTCCCCATCTCAGGTCACCAGTGTTCATTTGGACAACAACAACAATAAAAAAAAAAAAAAAAGTAATTCACTTTTTCTTTTTCAAAACAAAAGTGCACTAAAACAAAATAAGAAGTAGCCCATGAACACAAAATCAATGATGAAATGTATTATGGTTTTCAGAAACTAATAAAAACTAAACAATAATGTGTCGACAGATGGACGAATGGACAATTGCACTAATTAAGATAATGCAATCTAACATAATGACCAGCATCCATCTGCAGAATTATGCACTGTATGCTAAGCAAACGTTAATGTAAGATGAAGGACTGTGAATGTGGATATCCGGTTAATGTTGGGTAATGACTTTTAGTTGGGTATATTATGTTTATAAGTAGTGCAGGATAACAAAATACAGTTTTTTTACTAAAACTAACAATAATTAAAAAAGAAGTATATCTACATGTACATTTAAGTCAAACTACTAATACTAAAGACTAAATCAAAATAAGGTGCCAAAAGTAACAATGGGACTCCACCTCTCACACATCCCCCTTGCTGTGAGGTATATTTCCCCCAATTTCACAATTCCCCCACGCTTACTGTACGGTCTAATTAGCCATCAAACCCTTTGTGACCCAGACTGCCTCCTCTTGTCTCCTCCTCCTCTCTTGGTGACAAATATTAACCTTCTCCCTGCAGCTTTCTCCCTGTCTGGGGTGACTCCTACCAGGCCATGTCAGGCTTCACAGGAACTCCCCGCAGGGCTGCTGCCGTGACTAATTCTGCATCTTCTGAAGCATAATGATACATTTATCTTGTGTGGCACGCGGCCAACATTTTGAAATTCATAAACACATGTGCTTGCACAGGAGTGCTTGTACAAAAGTGCAGGCATGCTCACGCTATCATCAACAAACACACACACACACACACACACACACACACACACACACACACACACACACACACACACACACACACACACACGTGCAAAAAGCTCACACCTAATCTTTCCCCCTCCCCCACATCCCACCCTCTTTCCAATCTCTGGGCTGTCAAGCAAAGTGTCACGGGGTGAGCTTTAGTGCCAACCCTCCTTGTAGTCCTCTACCTCCCATTGACTATTTCCAGAGTCACTCAGGCAGAAAAAATACACAAAATGCAGGAATGGAGAGAAAGAAAGCAACAACGGAAGACGTTAATGCCCTCAAAACATAAACTCCTCCAAAGCAGAGGCAGGGACTGTGTATTTGCATGACATATAAACTCTGAAAGGCAAATGTGTGTGTGTGTGTTATCAGGCTCCTCTGAGATGCTCTGTGTGTGTGTGTGTGTGTGTGTGTGTGTGTGTGTGTGTGTGTGTGTGTGTGTGTCTGTGTGGGCTACAGTACGTGCTGCTCGGCAAGTTGGCTGCATAAACTCCCTGGCAGATGTAACCTGAGGGTTTCCACATAAACATATACACACATGGAGAAAGACAGAGGACTTGGCTCCATTTTCATCATCATGTCTGACTGTGAATCTGAGCCCTGAGTCACAGAAAGAATCTGGTGCCAGGTCCGGTGATTTTTTTTTTTTTACCTCCACAGAAGGTAGAAACAATACAATACAGAGAGGAGCAGACGGTCGGGGAGGCCACCGAGAGGACTGAGGGGGAGTGCAGTCTGTCCTGCATACGCACAAACACATGCAGATACACACAGATACACAGCAGGGGAGTACAAGGAGAGTATAGAGAGGGTAAAGAGGGACTCAGCGATGTGAATGCTTGTATTGCCCTTCCTTGCAGAGCTCTGTGCAATAGACAGATAAAAGTGCAAAATAGAAAGATAGGGAGGCTGTTGAGCAACCGGAGTAGACGTACAGATAGACAAATGACTCAGAGTTTCTGTATAAGTCGCTGTGTAAAAACTGTAGCCTCCGTTACTGTCTTTTCATAACCCCGTTACATGTTTCCCTGTCCTTCTCTCTTCAAAATTGAGGGTTTTAAAAAGCCAGTAAAATAAATGTGCAAACAAATGCAAAATGTCAAGTCACACTCTAGAGTTTGGATAACTTGCTGACACATAATGAGAGGATTAAGATCCTAAACTCCGGCTTTTCAGACAAATCAAAGCGAATTTTAATGAGCTCTGCAAATATACATTTGAAATAAATATCTTGGAGATTAAACAAAATATCAAAATCATTTCCCTCTCTTTGAAATGGCTAAGAAGATGAATGTGAGCTTTGGATATCTCAGATTTGTTTTTTCTTCTTTAAAACTCATATTTTCGCATCCTCTTCTTGGTAGTGGTGTTGGGGTAATTATTATGAATTAGCGGGCTGGTAGCTAAGCTGTGAAGGTCTGCCAAGTGTTCGAGATATGAACCTTTGTGAGAAACAGAAAGGAATAGACAGATTGACAGGCAAAGAAAATGTCAATGTGAGCTAGAATTGTGCAAATAAACAAACCAGAGGCAGGCTTCAAGAAATTTTGCAGAAGAGGGTTATTTGCAGCGGTGGAAAAGGTGAACTGTTACGTTACTTACTACACAAGTGCCAATAGAAAACTGTGAAAATTACAAATAACAGTCCTGCATTTAAAATCCTATTTAGATGAAAATACATAAGTTCCTATCAAGTATCAAAGGTGGTTTCCAAACTAGGGTTCAGGCCTTTGGACTCCTCTGTTTGTGAAATAATCAAGCAGCAAACCTCCTTTGCTGGCAAAAGAATCCAACACCGAAGTGCCAAAAACTGCAGCTCCAGTTCCACTTGAGGCTGACTAGAGAAGTGAGTCAGTCTCCATAAGGCCCCATATTACAATGTCCAACTTTACAGCAGAAATAAACATTTTTTTTTTTACAGTTTTAAGCCTGGTACAAAAAACGGTTTTGCTCTCTATATATAATTTCCCCGTTGTGACAACTGGACAGGGTGGATGTTTACATAACTCACCTGTTTAAATGACATCAAAGCTTGAAATTATGCACGATTAAGGGCATGGCTGCTTTGAGTGACAGGTGGGTGCTGTCACAGGTGGCTGTTTTCAGTAACCAGGCTTCATTCAGCCCACCTCAGCTCCACCCACAGTCCATATCTTTTCCCGTTTTTGGATGAGCAGGGAGCCAGCAGAGTCAGGACTGCCAAGATGGGGATGGCAAGAGCAGAATACACTCGGAGCTTTAGAACGGCTCTTCAGAAACCTATGGGCACGTCACAGAGACTACGGAGACTTATACAGTCTATGGATATAATAATAATTCTACCTCTTTGGGCCTCTAACAGTTATTGATAAACCATGTGAGAGGTTTAGAAGGGAAATGTCTACAGTGGAACTGCTAACAAGACAAAAAAGTTGGCAACGGTTAACACTGCATTGTGTTTTATAAGATCATCAGATGTTTTCTGATGTAATGTCCTAATCTAACTTGTAACCAAATCTGTCAAATGAATGTAGTTGGGTAAAAGATGCAATATTTCCCTCTGAAATGTAGTAGAAAGTAGCATGAAATGGAAATAGTTTAGATAATTTTTTTTACGTACAGTCAAGTCAAGCCTGTACTCAAATTGTCCGTCCATCCTTTGGTGAAAACTGTTCAGTTTGATTTCCACCAACCACTTAAGTGCAGTACTTGAGTAAACATACTTTCACAGCCAGCCACCACGGGTCATCGAAATGTTATGGTTTCACTTTCGGCTAGCTGTCCTGTCGCTGCACACACACACACACACACCCTGCATATACAGCCTGGATTCTTTTATTCCCACACAAAAATGCTGTATTAGCTAATTAAAAAGCTGTAATTAAAAAAATGTGAGCATACTAACATCACCTTCTTCCAAGCTACATGAAGAGGGTAAATAGGCTGAAGAGGTCAAGTCGAACGTGTTTTACCAACGCTTGTGGCCTTAATGAAACACGTTCGTCTCACATTAACATTGATCTCATATTATTTCTGGAGTGGTTTTGACCTCTAAAGAACATAAAGAACAGACTTGAATTATTCTGCACGAATACAATACTTTGAGTAAGTTTTTACAAGACATTATATCAATGTCTTCCTTATTTTCTTTGTCCTTTTTGATTGATTCTTAACAGTTCTTGACTAAAAGTATAAAAGAGTGTGATTGCCTGCTTCATGGAGGTTTTTCTCTCTGTTGATTAAAAGGACATGCTTGATTACCTTTATCACACATCACTCTCCCTCTCACCCAGTGCCTCTGCTTCCCTCCATGCTCTTTTAAGCAGATATATTCATACTGGTTTAATTGCACCGGGGCCATCATTTATCACACCCTGTGCATTGATGTTGGTACATGATAGGAGGTGGATCCAAACTCGCAGTGTTGACCTGCTGAGGGTATTTTGATCAACGGAGATCAAAATTCTGACTTGCAGGAGGGTTGCACCAGCACTACTGGATATCAAATGTACAATTTAGAAGTTAAACATTGATTTCAACTGATTTTTCTTATTAACGATAACCATGAATCATGGGGCAGACTGACTGCACACAGCTGAATCTGATATAACAGAGGTAATGGCTATAAACTGGCTCAAATCAAATAAGATCAGGACATATTAATAGGCTCCATTTCGACTGGTGAAAAATGAGAGAGATTGGTCTGTGGTTTGTCGGCGCACATGATTATCTGCAGTTATGCACTGTATACTGCAGGTCAGATGACGGTGACTGTCTACAATTTAATGAGGACTCACCACAGCCCACAATCTGAAGCAGAAGGAGGGCCAGCAGGGGCTGCAGTCCACACACAGGCAGTACGCCCTGCATCCTGCTGCACCTGGAGACAGAGAGGAAGAGAGAGGGAGGGACCGTGAGAACACAAAGGAAACTGAAATCAACACATTGGCCCTGGTGAGGCTCGCCTGACACACACTGCTTCTTTGCATGAGTCACCAGATGCAATTCCTTTTCAAGGGATTTTTTCAGCAAGGGCCCTAGGATAGAGGTGTATCAATTCATTCGTCATTTTCATTTACTGTCTCTCGTAATGTGGGTGTGAGTCATTTGAAGCACTTTGAGACTGTAACTGTGATTAAGAACTTTTAATGGCTATACAAATAAACTTAACTGACTGTGACCACTCTTCAAGTATAATAAAGAAATACGGTATTACTAGTGCTGTCAGTTAAACGCGTTATTTACGTTAATGCAAACCCATTTTAACGGCGTCATTTTTTTTAAATTGCGAGATTAGCGTTCTTTTTGTCCTAGCACACTTTTTCGTTTGTTTCACATGCTGTTGCAACAACTAGTAACGATAGAAAAACTACAACACCACACCGGATCTAGCTAGACCAGAAACAAAACAACAGGCACGCCGCACACACTTGTTTAAGAGTAGTAGACGTTACGTTTTGAGTGGATGGCGAGCGCGAGACGCCGAAATGGATGCCAATAATATTCTGAATGGAAAGTTTACTTTTAAAAAGTTGCCAAATGGTTCCATTGACAAGACCAAAGTGATCTGTGTGTTTTATCGTTGTGAACTGAGCTATCATCGCAGCACGTCCAGTCTGAAATACCACTTGATGGCCAAACACACAGCTGATGAGAATTCTCCGCCCCCTCGTCAAAGCCAGGCGACAATGGATGACTTCAGACAGAAGCACATGGATACCACAACTAAGAACAAAAAAGTTAAACATTTTATTTCCTCCGTTTTCCCGTGATAACAGGTTAATTTTCTCGAGATCTTGAGATAATGAAAGAGATCTCGAATTAATTATATCGTTATCTCGGGAAAACAAAGTTTCGTTATCTCGAGATCATGAGAAAATGATCCCGTTATCTCGGGAAAACAAATGAAATTAACTCGTTATCACAGGAAAACGGAGGAAATAAAATGTATGAATGCATGGCCCTTTAGGGCTTCCATAATGGACAGTGTTACATTGTGTGAGAGATTATTTGCTCCAAGTGTGAATGTTAGTGTGAAATTACAGTATATGCCAATGTTGTTTTCAATAAAAACAACATTTGCACAAAGCAAGCCGATCCACTTTTCCATGTTGATAAGAGCATTAAAATGAGAAAAAATAATGGGACAAAAAGAAATCAAGGGACATTTAGAATAGATAAAAATGTGTGATTGATTGCGATTAATTGCGAGTTAACTATGACATTAATGACATTAATCGCGATTAAATATTATTAAATAAACAAAAAATATTAAATATAGCACTAGGTATTACCTTTACACTTCACAGACAAGTATAGTTCCAAATTAAATCCAAAAAAGCCTCTTTTGTCTTTACCAGTTTATTTCTATTCAGGGTCACCGAGTGGTTAAACCTATCCCAGCATGCACTGGGGAGAAGGTAGAGGAAAAAAAGTGGTAGACTGTGGTAACTTTCCCAGAGTGTTTCATGGACGCGGTTGCTCCCTTTATACCTTCCGCTTCAATACCACCTGGCTTTCATGTCTATCTACATGAAATCTACACTAACATGGAGCCAATGGTGCTTAACACTGAGGCATCGACATCAAAGTTATCCAGGTGATAAAATAGTTTAAATGTCCTTAACTAAAGTACTGTCATTGTAAAGGTTAGATTGTGGATGAAAGAGCTGCCGCCATCAAAATATGAGACAAATTCAATATACAGTTTACCTTGTAAATAAAACCTTGTTTGTTGATGTGTGGTGTGGGATTAACAGAGAATACCTCAGCTGTGTGCAGAAAAACAAGAGATTTTATGTGTTTGCTGCACAACAGGGAAAGATACTGATGCAATCCAACAATAGAAACAGCCAGATAAGAACACTAGAGCCAAATCTAAGATGATGGACCTCTGGGCCCCCATGTAGCACACGGCGTGCTGAAAACTCTGCCGAGCAGAAAAATATCAAAGCGGTGTCGATGCTGTCACATTAAACATAGAAAAATATCTATTTGAGAGCCATGTTGTCAGGAGCTGTCTATGCTATGTCTGCATAGGTTTATTTGGACAAAGATGTTTTTTTGTGAGGTAACTGGGGAATTTTTTTCAAGCCTCACACACATGCACTGGCTTGGTTTTTCGCTTTAATTCTTCGAGGGAAAGTGACTTGGTTTGATGTGGAGCATAAAATATATATTGCAACATGGGGGTGAATGTTTTTTTTAGCAAAAATGTTCTTCAGTGTAGCACCACCCTTTAGTTTTATCTGCGTAGCTGTCTCAGTGCTTACAGCAGCCATTACTAAGAGAGCAATCATAAGGCTGAAGAAGCAGAACAAGGCAGAAGTAATTTCCTTTCACCTGCGAGTGTGTGTTTGTGTGCATTTATTTATGTATATTTGACTATGGGCTAACGTGTGTCACAAAAGCCAGGGGACAGAGACCAAATTAGGTAGGTCAGTCTCTGCTGTGGGGCTTGAGAAATCCTGAGTGTAAATAATGAATATGGCATCTCTGGGGACGTGGCGGGCCGAGCGGGGCCTGAGGGCAGGAGAGGAGCTTGGGGGGTGGGGGGGATTTGCCGGCTGGTAGTGGAGATGCCGGACACAGATAGCCAGTGTCAGTTACAGCAGCGCTGGTCGCTCTGACTCAATCTCAACACTACAGCCAAGGACAAAAACACTGACCTCGTACCAAATACCTTTGCTGTGCCATGGCTGAATGGAAGCTGATTTAAGGGTCTCTGGGTGTTTGGTGTAGATCTGCAGTATTTGTGACAGATAAAAAATCACAGAACTTTACAAATCACTCACCCGCTTTTAAGGGATGAAAATGAACTACGACTGGTCAACAGCATGCTTTGTGAGTCAGTTTTAAAATAAGCTGTTTTACATCTTACTTAATTAGAGTTTTGGTGAGGTACTGCTATAATGGAGCATTTATGAGGTATATTTCTTTTAGGTTTGCTGCGAGCCTCTCTCTCTCCTCATAAAGAAAAGCTGGTCACCACTTTAGAGGGCTTCACTTTATTGGACATATAGTGTTTTTACTCTATGTGAGTGACATATTGGCCCTTTTAGGGTGACAGACCAGTCTTCACTCCTCAAAAAAAGTTTTTCCCAATCTGGAGTTTTTTTTTTTTTTTTAATTGTGTGCTTCCTGCTTTCTTACAATTACTTGAATGCAGCTAGAAAGGACTTACCAGAAAGGAGCCATGGCTCTCAACTGCCACTAACGCTAAGATTACTTTGACAAAGGTTAAAGAGAACATGAAAAGAAGAAAAAGTCTAGCAAAAGTTGATTTTCATAGAATACTGACATTGACAGAAAGCACTGGCTTCCTCAAAGATAGGAAAAGATATTCAATAAGCTAGGAGCTATATAAGTACAGTCACCTTTGGAAAACTGTCAGAAGAGGTCGTTTCTACGAGGCTTCTGTAGAAGTGTGTCCAAAGTCTGTATTTGGTATATTTAGTTTATCACGATTTATAAACCTTTGGATGCTTTTGATTGACATTTTACATTTAAGCGTTTACTGAACTATAGCTACAGTGCCACTTTTTGTTTTTACTTATCATGCCCTCTTTGCCCATCGTCTATTTTTCCAGAAGCATAGTGCAGTAATACATTTTAAGCGGTTTGACCTCTGTATTGTATTCTGTGCTCTTCTTCCTCATTTTCCTATTTTCGACTGTATTTCTAAATCTGTTTACTGTCGTCTCAATCGATTTCCTATTCTGAAACAAAAATCGGAAAATGAAGAACAGGGCTTTTTTATTATCAGTGTTTGTAACAACATGTTAAAAGCAGAAATAGAGCCGTTTTTCATTTAATGTAAGTCTCAAAATAGAATTGTTCCTTATAACAGATCTCTTATATAATGTGTCGTATGAAAAAATGCAGTTTCTCTTACTACAAAATAAAAAATTGCGATGATTACAAATTCTCTTTGTTATCTCTGCTGCTAAATGCAAATGGTCTTCACATAATTGACATGCCAAACTCCAATCACTGACCACTTAATGACTTGCGAGGGCATCTTGTGACACTAATTTAGTCTCCTGGTGCATGCATGGCAGCAAAGTTTGTGTGTGTGTGTGTGTGTGTGTGAGGTTCCCTACTGCACAAATTGAGCACATTTCATTGGAAACCCAGTTTGCAGGTGTGTGGGTTTGTGTCACCAAAGTGAATATCCTCAGGGTTGTGGACTAATGAGGAGACTAGCCTATCTGCTTGATACTGCCCATTATCTTAATGAGATGCATCCATATTTGTCAAATTGATCATATGCGTAACCATCGGCAAAAGCCCACTTGGACTGCCGATCAATCAATAGATAATTAATCAACAGATAATACAACCAAAATAAAAATATAGTTAAGAAAGGTTATGTATTAAGCACTGCATCCATTTAGTTGTAGGCTATTTATCTAAATATGCAACAGTAAATATTCCTATGAATATCAGAAAATGGATCTGCTTTCCTCCTGTAGTTAATTATTCAAGACAAGATGCAAGTTAGGAAGCAGCTGATGCACAGGCAGACAGCAAGCTCACACAATGTGTCAAGGTTGTGCCACAGATATGGATAGTCCCAACAAGGTTCCTATAGCACATTGAAAGGCAATGAAGGTTACGCTTAATGTCCTCGCAATGAAAATTGCCCTTCAATGCCTTCATATGCTATGTATGAGCATTTATTTTCCACTGTCAAGATGACTAAAAGGCGACCTCTGAAACGGCTTTGGTGTAACAATGCCCACTCCGGAAGCACCTGACAGGCAACATCTAAGCATTTTCTGTTTGCCAGTAGAGCAGCTATTGTATTGTCAACATGGCTGATAATTGCTTTGCCTATTTATAATGTTGTAACAGTAATGAAAAAACTAGGATACATAG